ACCAATCCACCTCCCGATGACAACATCGCTGGTGCCTCGGCACCAACCCCAGACCCAGAATCGGAGAACACTCCTGAATCTCCAGCAAGTCAGGGTTCAGGGGGGGTGAGACCGAAGAGGATATGCAGGCAGCCCCTACCCAAAAGGCTAGACCCGTAGGATTAAAGCAGCCTCCATCCACTGATGTGGATAGCACGAACCCTAAGGGGAAGAGGACCAAGAGAGCAGCCCGTAAATCGGCAGCCGAGAAGGCCACCACCCCTTGCATGTTCTTCGCGTACAATGCATGTAGGGCAGAATCGTGCGCATTCCTCCACTCTGAAACCAATAAATATCGAGGACCTCCTCCTAGATCACTTAGGAAAGGTAATAAAGCCCCTCCTAATGTTCATGCTAGCGTAGCAACTGTGATAGTCCCAGAGATCGCTGTCTTTGACGCGATTAAACCTGTAATCACTGCCATGCCTTTCGAAGCTTCCACAGCCATCCCTTGGCTGTGGGACACTGCAGCAGGTCGACACCTCATTGGACGCCAAGCCCTCACACCATCCATGCGGGAGAGTGTACAGCACTCTCCAAATCCCGTAGCTTTTGCTACCGGAGGTGGCAGCCAATCCGGCAAAGGATCCCTGACATTTAGTGGCAGTAAGATTCTTGATGGTGAAGAGGTCTATGTTCTAGAGGAATGCCCTCCAGCACAAAGTATAGGTAAAGCAGTCATAGATAAAGGTTACATGTTCATCTGGGATCCACGGGAGAGTGTCCCATATCTAATAGCTCCCGAAAACGTCGATAGATGCAGGCTAAAAGTTCCCAAGAACGCTAAAATCTGCGCATCTAGGGTGGTAGAATACGTCCCACAATATGATGAAGAACTGACTCCATGTTCATTTGATCCAAATGAGCGCCCTGCTCCGGTACCAAATGCAATGCCAGCTTCATCCGTAGGACCCAAGACACTTATAGAAGTAGATGATTCCAATAACCATGGTAATTCGTCAATCCCTACGTATAATGTCTTTCCACCCGCAAAAGATGTAGTAACAGATCTAGCACCTGAATCTGTTGGTGACGTTGTTGGTTTGGCTAACACATCGGGGTCTAAAATGGTCGTTGTCGATGTTTCCAACGTACCCAATAACACAATGGATGACCAGCTCCTAATTGAGCCGGGGAGCGGCGAGCCGCCAAAGGATAAAATCTTGAAGCAGCGAGCCACCAATCCAAGCCATACGCGATTAAACTTATCAAATAGCCAGTTTTACCCCATTAGCCATATAACTAAAGATAACGCTATGAAGTTTTCACATTCCAATGACGGCGAGGCCGATGGTTTTGATGATTCTTCAGAGCAGCAACATGAGCGGCTCTCATCAAGCAGCGTTATCCTAGATAAAGGTACCCAAAAGTTTGAGGTAATAACAGGAAAAGTTGAATCGCATGGAAGTAAAAGCGTAGCAGCCAATGTGCACAACCCAGCGCGCCTGGTGCACGAAGGCGATCTCGTCTTCCCGGTAGGTATGTTATGTGGTCATGCCCTCTTCAGGGGGGGTAACCCGCATGACTTGAAATCCCCTAATAATACTGAGGATGACGTTCTCTGTCATAAAGATGGGGGTAATAATGACCCTTCAACACCTGATCTTAGGAGATGTCCCATAAACATCCTCTTAGATCATGTCCCCACCACTGAGGATACGCCTGGATGTGCTACCTGCAACACCCATACACGGCATCCTGCCGACCAACGCTGCGCCCACTTCACAAATAGTAATACGGTTGAAGAAAAGAAACGACACCAAAAGGGAAAGAAAGCACCACTTAACGCAAGCACATAAAGAGTCAAAAGTGACGAGGATGCTGAGCTCCATGCTCGCATCAGGGTAGGTGAAGAAATCTCTAGCCCAATACCTTTTCACTCTTCCTTGAAATCCGCGGCTTCATGGGAATAGTGATAAAATGTTCCGGAGTTAGAGCTTCCCAATCCTGGTTTCCCGTCACCCCCAATAGCCAGCGTTTTAAGTGCCATAATTCAATCCCAAGTTGTTTCATCAGCCTCAATCCCTTGTCAGGAGTCGCTTCCAGGGTCTAACCAACCAACTGGTCGCGCTAACCGTAGACATCGGAAAGTTGCCAAGATCGCACTTAGTGCGAATGCTAAGCCAGCCACATCCAAGTTTGCCTCTTCCCCTGACATCTAGAAGTTGTCGATAGGTGAACATAATGGCATTCCATGTGATAAACTTAGTAGGGATAACACAGAGTTAGGTAATGAGTCGCAGTGCGGACTGCTGGGCAATCACACAGCTGAACCCGCTGAAACCGCGCCACCACGTGTGTGGACCTCATCCTCCTGCTCACATACATTCCCTTGGCAGCGCCCAAAACATAATGTTGGTCTTAGGTCAAGGGCATCCGCCCAACTTAAGAAACCTTCTCAAGACACAATATCCACCTCCATCACCAATGATGGACCGAAATGGATGTGTCACACACGCATCGCTAAACCATAAACCAACGCATAGATTGCTGCGAGCGCCCGCTTGCGCAATATTAGTGCGTAGGTGCCTGCCAAAAGCGCAGAGCGTGGATCAGGCGAGGGGGGAGTTGAAATATATCGACCCCTGAGCCCCCACTACATGTAGCATAGCAGGTAGGTATAGCGTAGTGTAAATAGCGTAGCTATGAGTTCCAATTCAATCCAAATCATTATACTCAATGTACAGTATAGCACTACTTACCTAGAAGCGTTAGGTAAGTAGAGTAGCCGTAATTAGACATAGGTACTTCCCTCACCCTAACAACCAGCTGGGTCAGGGTTTACTTAGTACGCTATGGATGTTATGGCTCAAGTGCCCAAAAAGGTCGGGTGCTTGGTTTGTTTAATGGGGTTATCGAAGGATACCGTGGTTGGTTCCCTTGTTCAGTCCCCTGTTTTCACTATTATTTTATATTATTATATATTATTATATATTATTTATTATTATATATTATTATTTATTATTTAATATTATTATATATTATTATATATTATTATATATTATTATATATTATTATATTTTATTATATTTTATTATATTTTATTATATTTTATTATATTTTATTATATATTATTATATATTAACATGATATTCTTCAAACTGGGTGGTTTGCGGGCAGGCGCAGCAATTCCTTGAGCCTTCTCCCCGAGAGCATCATCTTGGTGGCAGAACACTGGGGGTACCTTAGCTCAGCAACCCGACCCTGGTGATGATGGCTCCCCCATGGGGCCATGTCCATTGACCATGACATGACGAAATGCGTAGAATTTACTGCTGCCATTTTGAGGGCTGATGAAGTTGTTCGCCATCATTGTGTGGGAGTTTCCCAGCATTTGAAATGGGCAATTCCCCGACATGCTGTTTGTGCATGTCATTTCAAAGGTCCCAAAAACATTCAAAAACTTGAATGAAATTCCCCTGATTGCTATTAAAAAAATATAAAACTAATGAACATCCCAAAACATTCAAAAGTCATAAAACTAATTGCTTGGAATTCCCCTGATTTCTGATTTCTTGGTCATTGATTGACATCCCATTGGATTCGACCATTCTATTAGCGAGCTGACGGGACCACATGGGATACCCACTTTCGGCGGACAGCATCTATGATGTATATAACATAGGTGATCTCATGTAAGTATATAGCTATGTTAAGGATACAGATAATGAATACATGTTAAGGAAGGAGGTAGATAATTGACAGCCTCTATAGTTCTATAGTAGGTTAAGCAGATAGATATACAATGATATACACAAATCCCTGGTGGCTATGTAGGATAACCATCAGATAGTATATATATATATATATATTTATAGTAGTATGTAGCTTAAGGACCAGCAGATAGGTTAAGCAGATCGTTAAGGACCTGGTCGGTCGGGGATTGCTCGGGATCGCCTGAGGCGCTGCCGCGACCTTTCAGGTCCTGCCCCGAAAGAGCGCCTTGGCTGGTTCAAGCCATGGCTGGTTTCAGCACGTTTCAGTGATGGTAATATCCTACATACATATCATATCATATCATATCATATCATATCATATCATATCATATCATACATATCATATATTATATACATATATGGTATACATATTAGATGTGTTATATATTAATATTGTATATTGTGTATGTGTATATATATATATAGTAAGTTGTGGTAAACTCAATAATGAACCGTTGGGGTTTAGGAAATCAAATATACCCCTAGCAATTAGATAATTTATATAATACGGTAGCCGCCAAATAGTTTGCTAATCGGATTGTTTTCTATTGGGTGTACCAGTGTGGAGATAAAGCACCAAACAAAAAAATACATATGTATACAATTGCACATAGCCACCAGTTGGGACAACCGCAACCTACCCTGGTTTTACATGTCCTTTTGCATGATATTGAATGATATTGAATGTGTTGGGTTTTCCGTTCCTTAGTTGTGCTGGTTGGAGCTTCCAATCAGTTTGGTAGATCAGGAAGGACCAACGAATGGCACCAACAAGATACAGTAGAAGAAACAACTCGTGATGTGAAGCGTGTTTCATGTGAATAAAATGATGTAGACTACAGTGACTACAGGTAGAGCAAACCAAACATGCTGGTGTTTTGCTACACTACTCTAGGGATCTTTGCCACTACAGGTCATCCATGATATCTCCAGGACTGGCAAGAATTGTCTCCAAACTGGGGAGATCCCAGTCATTCCCAGCCACTGGATCCCCTTTTTGGATTTCTTTGAGGGTCGCTGATTTCTTGGATACATCATGATACATCTATATAGAGATTCTATGGCAATTTTATTACTTCCTTGGAAAAATTTGGCGTGATTTTTCAAAGCATCTTCGCCACAGAGGGACTTGAGGACCTTGTTCAAAGATTCCTTGCGAATGGATGACATTTTTCACTCTTGTATTCACACATGACTTTAGTGGCAACACGTAACGAGTAACGATCCATCGATGATTCCACTTGGATGTCGGACAGCATTCTCGCTGTCGGTTGTGTCAAGCAGTCAGAGTGACTCAGAGTGCCAAGGCAGTGCATCACTTTGAAGCTGAAGGGCTTCAAAGAATCACAAGCAAAGAAACTCTCCGTGGAGGTGGTGTTCCAGGTGCTGCTGCTTGTTTCCCAAGTTTCTCCAGGTATTGAAAGCTCCAGGGCTTGGGAGATAATCTGGGGATGTTCCTGTGGGATGCCAGGATAGATAAACTATCAATCATCGACAAGAGATGACAAGAGAAATTATGGACATGCTGACTGCTGACCTCTTGCCCTGTCTCATGATCTCCCTGAGACAGTATTTGAATCAAAGAGATGGCACATATTCGTTGGGTGGTCATTTGACGGCTAGATTTGGAGCACGTGCATGAGAGGATTCATGTGTGACCGTAGCACAAGCATGACAACATTCATGGCACAATGCCATAGTGACCTCCCTATGGCCCAAATTCACACCAATTGGCCCCTTGCGCTTTCGCAACTCATTTCTGTTCAACATCGAAATCCAATACCCCACTAAAATTGACTTCCCTCTTGGATCTGTAAGACTAGCCATGACGATCTGATTTGTCCGGCTGTTCAATTCAAAGAAGTGCAGAGTTGTTTTAAGCAGAGTTCCTTCCCAGGTCATCCTTTGCTCCGCCCCCGAATCATTGTGTCAACTTAGCGAATCGGATGAAATCGGATGAGACTTGTCACATCTTATGATCACAGGATAATTGGATTGTTTTCTGATGTTTTTTGCATGCAACTTCACGACTTCACCGCATATTTGATGATATATATATATGATATGTGTTCCAATTCTTTCCCATAAAATCTTCTCGGCAAGACCATTCCATTGATAACCATCCATCCGTCACGTCATCGACATCATCCACATCATTGCCACCCCCACCATCCACATCATGTTTGTTGGTTAAATCATGTCAAAGCCTCAATTTTGGATGCTTTAAACCTTCGTTTGTCCGCCGATTTTCTCTTCCAAACTGGTAGCCATTTTAGTTTTTTAATGTTTTTTAAGTTTTGTGTTGTTTAGGCTTAGATCTACGGATAAATTCCATGGCTTCGTTTCAAACTGCTTCCACGCTTTTCCAACCTGCGATGTTGGGTTTCGATCAGGCAAACAGCCAGACATTGCCCCTGCATTTGGCTTCTTGGGGTGCAGAACAGTTGCAGGCTAAGTTCATGTGCATGGCGTCAAGACACGGACCTGTTATTCGGATCTTCTTCAAACGGTGTGACGGTGTAACCCACAAATTACAATGAAACTTCTGAACGCAAACGTTGGGATGTCAGCCCCAAAATTGGATGGGTTTAGACTGGCCACATTGACCAAGTTTGTGTCTCCAGTAGTAAACCATTTTGGGTCGCCGTGCCCAAATCTACGCAGATTTTCCGGACCTGACATTGTATTTCAATGTTATCATTCATGAATTCGATTTATACATATTGATTAAGTATCAAGTATATGCCTATACATCAATCATCATGAATCCATGGAAGATGAGGTGAAGACCTGAACACATCACGTTGGCCAGGCAGTATGGTCTCTGGTGGTCACTGCAGCGGAGCTGCCAGCGGGATTGATTTTCTTTCACTTCCGCGTGAACGGTGTCCTTAACTCAGCCGAGTCCAGAGTCCATCGTGTTCCCATAAAAATGGTGGTTGAGCTTGCTAGTTGCAGCAGAAACTTGAGCTCAGATGAAATGCTGAAATGAATATAAATGAATTGTGGATTTTTTCATTTGTTCCCCACCTGTCAGGTAAGGGTTGTTACTGTAAAGATTTTATGTCAGCCTGCCCGCATCCTCCTTCCTTCTTCCTCCACTCCTCGCCGGACCTCAACTGCAAGCTCTAGATCGCAGTGTTCCCCGCCGGACCCCAACAGCAACCTCTGGATCAGATATACCAGATAGAATGCTAGAAAAAATATCAGAAGATATGCCAGATACTGAGATATACGCCAGATACATGCCAGAAACAACCGGTGCCAGGTGGAATGAAATGAATTGGAGAGTTAGCTGGGCATCTGTCTCACGAAAGACTTTGCTTCAGACAAAACAATGTTGTGACTCTTAGTCTTGCAATGGGACTTGTAGCTGAGGGTTTGTGCTGGAGCACGGAATGCTTTGAAATGCCATGTAAAGTAACTTAGCGTAATTTACATGTATTTCCACACCTGTCAGGTATGTGTCAGCTGTCCCGCTCCCTCCTCCGCCTCCTCCTTCTCCTTCCCCTCCGCCCGGCCCCAGCTGCAAACGCTAGATTGCAGTGTTCCTCGCCGGACCCGTACAGCAAACTCAGGATCAGAGTGATCCCTGCCGGACTTCAACTGCAAGCGCCATGATCACAGTGTTCCCCGCCGGACCCGAACAGCAAGCGCAGGATCAGAGTGTTCCCCGCCGGACGGTAATTGCAAGCGCTAGATCGCAGTGGTCCTTGCCGAACCCGTACGGCAAACGCAGGATCAGAGTGTTCCCGGCCGGACACCAACTGCAAGCGCTAGATCGCAGTGTTCCCCGCCGGACCCGAACAGCAAGCGCAGGATCAGAGTGTTTCCCGCCGGACGGTAATTGCAAGCGCTAGATCGCAGTGGTCCTTGCCGGACCCGTACGGCAAACGCAGGATCAGAGTGTTCCCGGCCGGACACCAACTGCAAGCGCTAGATCGCAGTGTTCCCCGCCGGACCCGAACAGCAAGCACAGGATCAGAATGTTCCCGGCTGGATGGTAACTGCAAGCGCTAGATCGCAGTGTTCCCCGCCGTGCCCGCCGGACCCGAAAACCAAGCACAGGATCAGCGTGTTCCCAGCCGGACCTTGACCACAAAGAATCTTCGGAGATATAGCAGATAGAATGCCAGAAAGAATGTCAGAAGATTTGCCAGATACATATGCCAGAAAGAATGTCAGAGAGAATGTCAGAACATATGCTAGAAAAATGTCAGAATAACTGCCTGAAAAGATGCCAGATAGAATGTCAGAATAGATGCCAGGTAGAGTGCCAGAAAGAATTTTAGAATATATGCCAGACAGTAGGTCAGAAGAGATGCCAGATTGAATGTCAGAATAAATATGTATGCCTTGTCAAAAACTATGTCAGAATAGTGGTTCAGGGTGGGGGTCACTCAAAGAAAGTATTTTTGTTGCGATTTGGGTCCATTTGACTTTTTGCAAGTAAGTTGATGGTTTGGGTTGTTTTTAACCATCAATGCCAACTATTCAGCACTGCTCAACACCCTTTGGATAAAAAAACGATAAGCAAACACGTCATGGCATAGGAAAAACCAGGAAAAACGAAACAACATATTTTTGGATTTCCATTATTTCCTCCTCCAAGTGGGAACTTTCCATTGCCATTTTAGATCGCCGGCCAAGGCCTTTGCACTGTCTGGTGAACACATCCGCATTGGCCAGTGGAATGCGGTGTATCTCGGCGACCCGATTCGCCCGGGGCTTATCCAGATCTCAACGTGTGCAGGACGGTGCAACGGATGTTTTTGCTGCGCGAAACCTGCAGACATGTTCGATTCCTTTTTCTGATTTGCGAGTGAATCAACATTTGAGACCATCTGCAAGTTTTTGTATGATGTCACCCTCCAATTTTAAAGGTCTGCAACCAAATGTTGGGGGTTCTCGATGATATGACCTATCACCGTTCCAAACCTTGGGTTTGCAATCTCAGGTCGCTATTTGTTGGCCAGAGACAGCCGTGGCCAGCCGGGCTCCCCATGTGATGTCCCATGATGGTTAGGACACCTTGCATTTGCGCACAAACGCAAGTAGTCCCGTCCCCCCAATCACAACAAACCCCAGGTATCCCCAGGTATCCCCAGGTTTACGTTTGTTTAGTAGTGATGCACCTCTTCATTTTTGTTTTCGTGATATAATGATATAGTCGAGTATTTATACATATATATATATATACATATTGGGCGGATGTGGGCAGATATAATCAGGGTATTTGATTAGTTCGGCAGAAGAGGCTGAGAACCGCAAATGTGATCCCAGCCATTCGCTTTTGACATGGTATGATTGATTCTTGGGATGGTACGACCTCCCATTCTCGTGGCCGTCTTGTATTAGAACTGATGATTTGGTTCTGTCAAACAAAACAAACAAAACTATACCATAATCTCTATAATATATATAATGCTTGGAATTTTAAGGTGCCAACAACTTTGCATCGACATCCAATTTCATTGGATAATTATGTATTATTGTGTGGATTTTCCTCGAAAGAATTCGATAACTCTGTTTTGGGAGGAATCCGGGCCACACAGAATTTCATGAGGATGGCATTTTGGAGGTCATTGTGGATTGTTTGGGGGTTGGAGTGGCTGGTCCGGGAGTAACCCGGACTGTCGTATTACTATGTGGGTTCAGATAGTAGTTTATGATTTTGGTGTATCCTTGGTGTTTGTTTGTTTGCATTTTGTTGCCTTAATACTAATTTTTGCAGAGCATATTGGACCCCATGCCTACCACACTTCACAGGTGACATGTTTGCATTTTATCGTGGCGATAAGGAAAAAACTATATATATATATTATATGATTATATTATATGACAAGTGGTGGAAGGCTGCGAAGCCTGTACCATTGTCAGACACACCAATGTTTTGTTGCTAAAGATTGAATCTATAGATAATCTAGGTGATGAAAGGAACCATATGAGAAGGTGATGATTTGTGGATACATTGTAAACTAAGTGGTATGATCGCGATGATTTCTATTTTGAGTCGCGTGTTTCGCAAATGGCATTAGGTTTGTGCAGTTGTGGGCATTTACTTCGAGTTGGATACTTTTTCAGGGAGCTCTCACAGCGGTGTGTTTCAAGTGTACATTGTGTACTATGTTATATTATCTATTCTTATACCATTAAATATACATATTATATACTAATATATCAATTTGATATTATGTACTTCTAATAGTTTCACATAATTAGATAGGATTCCAGTAATTTGTGAGTGGTCAATGACTTGAATCATTGCTCTATGGATCCGGATTCCGAGCTTCCAAGGCTGCTAGAGGAAGGACGGTACGCGGCTTAGTGGATTTTCATCAAAAACGGTGGGTTTCCTGAGGGGACCTTAAAATCGTCCAATTGATCATGTTTGCTTGGGAAATTAGTTTGGTTTTTGGCATGTTTTGGCTATCCCTTTCTCAGGAAACAGGTTTCCACCCATCTATTGCAGAGTTTTGAGTTCCATGGAATTTAAACCATGTAACATGCAAGTGTACCACTGAAACCCAAATATGGACATCTGTGGAACCCATTGCTGCGGGTTCTTGGATGGGTAGGAAATGTGTTTTGTCAGTGTCATGATGGTTTTTTTTTCCACAACCAGCCAAGATTGGTCATGATTGGAACTTCCAAACATGTGGGAATTAATGGGACAGATAGATTTCTTGGGGAAGATTAGCATCTTACTTAGATCCACTATTTGTATACTATTTGTTTGGGCAATTTTAATGGTAACTTTAGAGTCAAAGTTGCAGATCTCATCGTTTGAAAAGTGTCCAAGTTGGCCGCTGATTTGGGGAACCAGTTTTTTGGCGTATGATTTCCATGCTGATTGGTAAGTCTGAAGCACCCTAGCTACCTCCCGATGACACCAAATATGATTTTCTGTGTAATTTTTTTTTGACATCAATGCGGTAGACCATAAGCATCCATAAGCCATATTCCATTTACCACATTGGTATACCCATTACCTGGTTTGGAATACTTCCATTTAGGTAATTGGTATACCCCCATATTCTTTCTTTACCTTGATTTTTGCCAGAAATGGGGGTATTCCAAACCAGGGCCGGGGCCCCAATATGCCCCAATCTTTGGGGAGGGTTTGTGGCATTCGTGACGTACTGAGAATGGTCGAGAAGACCCGGTCCAAGCGAATTGGTGATATGGCGCGGCCATTTCGGGATGGCTTCATGCGGTCGACAAGTGAATGGTCACAAAGTCTAGTGTCTCGCTATATGGCAGTGTGTCAAAACCTTGTACCCCTGGTGAACATCAAAATAGCTGGTAAATGGATGTTCATCCCCCTAAAAATGGTATTAATAGGTATTGATCCATACCCATATTCAAGACATTTGAAATCACAAATTTTCTGGTGGCTTGCAGGATTTTCGGGATTGTGTTACCACGCGCTTTGATTCATAGATGTTATTAGAGGTGTTTCAGTCTTAAGCTGGCTCCTGAAGTTTATTGGAGTTGGATGTGCCTCGATGTCTTGACATAATGAACAGGTCAATATGATAAGCATTGTGCTTAGTTTGAGTTGCTTGTTGGTATGGGAATGAAGTTCCTCATCAATCTAGTGTTGAAAAAAGAACGTGTTTCCTTCCATCCCATTTGGGTCTGAAAGTGGTGTGAAAGTCACCCAGATTTGATGGTTATATAATCGCAAATTCTAGTAGAATATCATAGAATATCTACAATTGCCATAACTTGGGGATTCAACTTGAAATACCAAACAGGTGCAAGCTGCCTTGCGTCGCACCTGTTTTCATCCTTTATACATGTTTTGGGCTTGGGGTGTTTGGTGTTCAGTTGATTGTTAGACCACTCAATTTCAGACCCATTAGCTTCGCGCCTTGAGAATAGTTTCGCAGGATTTTTTGGGTGTCAGCTTTGTTGTTTGGGCCGTTTTCAGTGGTTTTCGGATATTGTTTGAAAGCTATTTCTCCACTTCTTTCTCCAGACATCTTTGTGGTAGTACGTAGTATCATGGCAGCAATACTATGAATGTAATATAGATACAACATATACAGATATATGTATTCATATCATTTCATATCAAAATGTCTAGAGATTGATATGATATACAGCTTAACAATGACATCAGTATCAGCATATGAGATGTTTTCGGGCATTTACTAAGTGTTTCAACATCAGTGAAGCTGGTGCCGCTGGTGCCCCATCAGCTGCCAGGCGTTTGATCCCGTCGTCGGTGATGCTTCGTCAGCCGACGCGATTGGTTCGCAGGAGCCCTGCAGCTGAAGCGGTGCCAGGTCAAGGTGCAAGAGAGGAAAACAACTGAGGATGGAACATGTGTTAGGTGCAATCTCATGCGTAGGTGTATTATATACTTAACAGATCTTAATAGTATGCCATTTCGGCAACAACAACTGAGCGATCTGTCACGGAACTGTGACAAAAGGAGTGCGGTGGCCCGATTGCCCGCCCATACAGTGTGTGCAGGGAGCCTTAAGAATCCTCAGAACATTGAATCAGCCTGCACCATTGTCATGTCAACGCGACAATGGCACGCACAAGTTGTTTACTCATGTTTTCTTTTCACTATGTTTATTGGACGTATGTCAATGAAAGATGAACATTTAGAAAGAAACACATACGTGAAAAGACATGAGTAAATGGTGTCAATGTCGATCAAACATGGAATTTAGTTTCAGTCACTAGACTTTGCAAAATCTATGACACTGGAGACAACGTGTGCTGAATGCTCACCAAATCATGGCTTGGCATCGCCTTAGAACCTCACATCTGAAACTGACAACTGATTACTGTACGATTTAGATGGTAAATTGATTCCTCAAATCAACATACAGTAGATTTATAGGAATGTATTATATATTTGTGATATGTATAATACCACCAGTGGATCAATATGGCATACGGTGGTATACTGTAGTATACAGACCGTTTGATATCCAGGGAGATACCATGGGGTCAAGATGGAAGTGGTGTCTCCAGCAGAGCTTGTCAGCCCTGGGTTTCCATATGTCCGAGACTTGGAAAAGAACACGTTTATGGATGTTTATGGGCCATATGGGTAAAAACCATGGGTTCCAGTCAATGTTAATCTGAAGGAGTGCCCACAAATTGCGTCAATTGGCAGAGTCTTGGCCCCAAGACATGTTTCTCCACGAAAGGCGCATGGACGACAATATTTGTGTATATTTACATTTATGATCATTTATGCAACTATACAAAATTATATAAATGATCTACATGAAACACACACAGTATAACATATAGAAAGTCCATGCATCGGGACAGTTGGGTCGAATTGCCAGGATTTAGACACACACCGCCCAGGTGGACATTTGGGACATGGTGACTCCGATGAAGAGCATGACAATCAGGCGTGGAAAAAAACACAGATCTTGATTGTTTCTTAAGTGTAGATATTCACATATTGTTTACTTGTCTATGTATCCATTGAAAGTATACCGTTTTTTAGTATCAGCATTGAAAATTATCATTGATCAGAACGTGCTTCCGTGCTGTCACTGCTTACCGATATTTTTGTGTTCTGATCATGGCTGTAGGTCGTTCCTTCCAGTGAAGCCTGCTGCAGTGGTAACACGATTCGAGCCATTAAACCTACCACTGTTGATTGGCTATTATAAGGGGTTATATCTTTCTCCATCTCTGGGGCTCTATTCAAAGGGGTGTTTTGCTAAATTATTTCAGTTTACTTTTTTTAAATGATATTTTTAAATTGATGGAATTGGGCCCAACAAAAATTATGAAACAAAAAATCTATGAAAAAATATGTTTTCTGCGTT